GGCTTTATAAAATGAGCAACGTTCTCCAAACAAGTATATCTTATACCATTTAGCCTCATTTTTTTACCATGTAGTTCAGACTTCGTATGGAATACAGACCTGTTAAATTCCCCATGTTGCACTGCTCATACTTCATTAATTCTTCACAAATATTCATGTCTTTTCACACATTTTTGGGGAAAGGTGGTCTAAATAACCAGTTTAGTGTTTAGTGCCAGTTTTGAAAAGCCTTCATTTAACCCTGTCTTTGTAGCATTGCCTACATATTCAGGAAAGTCTTGTAAGGCTTACCTGGTAAGAACTTACATCAGTTTGCCTCTCCTGTTTAAGGACCATGTTCATACTCGTGTGACCATACACATTTTAGTTAATTTTATCCATACTTTACTCATTATTTTTACTCATTTTAGTTAATTTTCTCCTTACTTTACTCATTATCTTGTAGTCCTGAAATCCATAGAAACTAGCTGCTCTACAAGGCAGTCCTTGATCTTCCCTCCCTTTTGCTTACTTTATTATGTGTCTGCCGCTCTTTCCAGTAAAGTATTTTCAGCAAAAATACCCTACAGGTTACAGAACAGTCTTCACTAGTGCTTCATCTTTCAATTTTATTGTACAGTGTTCTGCAAAAGAATTTTTTCTCAGTCTCCTGGCAGTGAATCTTCTCTAAATCTCTACTGTTTTTACGTTTTTATATTAGCATTGTCTCAAATTTACTTTTTGTTTATAAAGGTAAAATAAAATCTGTTCATAAATACTGAAGGAAAAGGATTTTCTTTCAAAATTAGATAACATGTTTCAGTAGGACAGTGTCTAAGGAAATGCAAATCTCACTTGATTCAGTGCAGTTGTTCAGAGTTGCAAAGCTTTGATTAAGGTCTTTTCTTGATGCTACTTTTTAAATGAAGGTTGTGTTTCAAAGAATCACAGTAAGGTTGGAGGGTACCTGGTCTACCTGCCCTGTTCAACCAGGGTCACTTTGAGCTGGGTGGCCAGGACCCTATCAAGAAGTTGTTTTCATTATCTGTTAGGGAGATGCCAAAATCACCCTGGGCAGCCTGTGCCCATGATTGGTTACCCTCACAGTAAAAAGCTGTTTGCTGATGGGAGCCTCTTGTGTGAACTACAGATAGGTTGAATTATTCTACTGAAAGCTGAGGTCACTGACAGGGCACTTAAGTGGCAGTAGAAGTTTTAAGTATGGGAGTCCTGTTGAAGTCTTGTCCTGCAAGAGCATGTTCCTCCTTCCTGAGATTCTAAATTTGCACAGAGTGTATGTGGAAGCAATGCTCAGCTGTATAAGTAGTTTCAAGTGTGTAGGCCTCTCAGCATGTATGGAACTGGGAAACAGATGTCTCTAGACTAACAAGAATAAAAAATAAGAAATATGTAGACTGACTGATATGAAAGGAGATATTGCTGCACCACTTAGTGTTTACTTCAAGAAACAATTTGTAAGCTTTCTTCAAGAATGGTTCAGGGAAAGGCAAGAATGACCATTCTTACCCACATACAGGTATCTTCTGTTTCTTAATCTTAAAGAATTAATAAGGAGCATGAAATGATGGGGGGCTCTTTTTAGAGCCATAGAATCATACAATATCCTGAGTTGGAAGGGACCCACAAGGATCATCTAAGTCCAGCTCCTGGCCCTGGACCAGACAGCCCCAATCCTAATCCTACATTAGGATGACCATGAAATATTACAGAAAAAGCTCTATTATATCTTTTGTCATAAGCAGGTGGGTTTGCCTGAAAGTTGTTTGCGGCTCAGGAGTGAACTGCTTGTAAAAACAGACAAGAATTTGGAAATGGCAGAGGCCAGGTGGTTTAGAAAAATCGCTGGTAGAAAAGATACCTTTTCAATGAAAACTTAGGCCAAAGAAAATTGCCTTTTTTTGCTGAACAGTTTCAAAGCACAAAATGCCTCAATCAGGCCTAATAAAGAAGTCACTGTCTCTTGTGCATCACTGTGAGAGCACTAAAATGAAGTAGACTATCTAAGAATGCAATAAATCTTGTGGGGTCATTGCACTAATGAACAGTTCTGGCCCAAACTCTAATTTAGCTTGTCTGTAGAAAGAGAAAACTGGTAAAACAGGAAAAGGCCATATGAGAGAAGCTGTTCCCTGATACTGTCTTAAACTTTTATTGTTGAAAGATATGCTTTAGCTAATTTCAGACCCATTTAAAAAAAAGTAAAAATTGTAATTAGGAACCAGTGAGTAAAAGCAGAAAGCCCAAGTGTGTAAAGACATAAATACCTAAGTCCTTGGGATAAGAACCTGTAAAACTGTCAAAAAGCATTGCTTAATGACAAAAGATACCCTCTGTTAACTAGAAGCATGGGTGCTGTTTGCACTAATCTATATTCATATATGGAAGCCATATTTTTAGTTCCTTATGAAAAGGCAAATCTTTTCTGTTAAAACCATTCATTCTTAGGTTAAAAGCAACTGTTTCCTCTGGGTGCACTCTTACCCAGATTTCTCAGTCAAAAAATGAAGTTTCATTTCAATGAAATTTCAATACTTAACAGTTTTCTTGTTTATGCTACTCTGTATTTCTTGGAATAAAATATCAATCAGGGCTTTCTAAGGAAATAAAGTAAATAGTTTCAAAAATTGTTAGAAACCCTTTTAAATATGTATGGGTGATCATATATGTTTCATAATGACTTTCTGTGGTTTGAGTTCTCAAAATGATCTTGCCCAAAGTAGAGCAAAATTTTTACCAGAAAAATATACAACTTTATATGTATTTATATTCTGTTCTTGTGATATTGACACAATTAGTTAATGCTGGGAGAGAATTTTGACATGGAGCCATTTCACTGGTCATTTCATGCCTTATAAGGAGAATGAGACTAGGCCTTTTCCCCTTTTTTCATTTCGTGCAAGCTGTTAGAAAAGAAAGTAGTGAATAAGTGAATAATAAATAAGTGAAATAAGTGAATAATAAATAAGTGAAATACTCGCTGTGCCTATGTGGGTTTTTTTTTTCTTTTTAGGCTTTTAGCACTTGAAAGCCAAATATGACTGTCTTTTATCATTTGCTATTTTTTTTTTGAGGGAATGGGCTTTAGATAAGTTTAAGTCCATGTTGGAATTAATAAAGGAAGAGCACAGTTAATGGAAATCTACAGAAACCAGTTCTCAGCTAGTAATTCTGCTGCAAGAAGCAGAAATTGATGGATAAAACAGATGTTTAAGAGTAGCCTGCAGCTAGACAACTGAACTTAGTTTGCTCATGTCTTTCAAGTTTCCATTGACACTTGTTCTTCATCACTGCAGTCTGTTTCATATTATCATGATTATTTTACAGCTAAAAATCTTGTAAGGTTTTACAGAAACTGAGGAAGGAAAAAGCATGTTTTTTTTAAAAAAATGCTTGATTTCTGGAGCAGTGATGCTGTCATGTGTTTCTAAAGGTCTGATGATGTGAACCATGTAAGGGTCTCTCTTGATACTCTGAAGCGGGTTGTGTTGTTGGTTGGGTTGGGTTTTCTTGCACAGGATTGATTCAGTTGCATGTAAGTGGCATACACCCACACAGTCAGGTACAGAGTTTGTATTTTGACTGTGTGTCTGTGAGAACTGGAGCTGGTGTTGATTTAAGGAGAGCAGATGTTAATGGTGTTTTTCTCAAGCATTCTTGTTGCCCAAATAGGCATCTCTCATCGTGAGAAAAGGCAACAAAAGGCAGTAAATCTGCTTGCTCTATTATGAAGGGCAACAATAGATTGATTTATGGAGAAAAAGCAACTGTTAGGCTTAGGTAACCTGTGTGTGTGAAAACAGAGTTTTACAGACTGGATATTTCTGCTGTCATTTTTGAGAACAATTTCATTCTGTCTCAGTCATGAGGCAAGGACAGTCAGAAAATGTTTGTTAGCCTGGATAGCACATCATGATAACACAGTTGTATAAAATTTAAAGTGTAAGCAGGTTTTCTTTTCAGTAGCAGACCATTATTTCCTAATCCGATTTTCACTGTTCCTTCTGTATGGTCACTTCCCGTTTTGTGTTCTCTGTTAGCATCCCCTCTGCCCACATACCAGATTCATACTTTGTCTTATGTACACAGATGAGTGTGCAAGGATGTACCCGCTGAGTCTAGGAATCAGCCAAAAGGTGTAAGGAGACATGCAATCTGGCAGCAGGAAACAGGACTCTTCAGTTCTAAAGAGCAAATTAGTACAGAGCAAAATATACAGAATTTTCCCATGAAGTAATAGGACTTCCTCATTAAATTAAATGAAAATTTTCACATTTTAAACAATAGTAGGGAAAAAATGTGTAGAACTTGTTTAACTTTATTTAACTTTGTTAAATAATAAACACTGATTTTAATAACCCTGTTTAAAAATTCAGTTCTCTTCTGTAATTGGTAAGTTCTAGATAATTTCTCTTTGTAACTAAGTATGTGTTCTGGTTCAATCACATTTACAATCTGCAGAGTTTTGATACATATGGAAAGTGTTAGGATTAGCAGAATTTCTGTAACAACTTAAAAGTTCAATTTGAATCTCTATTTTTAGACTTATTTTCTAAGGCAGATGAAAGAAAACTGTCTGAGGTTTTCTGGCATTTAGTGTGGTCTGCTCAGGTCCTTTGTTTTTCAATTCCACAATGTCATTGTTAATTTGAAAAATGTTGCATCTCCAGTATGACAATGACAGAGATGCCTTAGGTCCATTATAAACTCGTTTAGGCTCTCACATTGTATAATCTTTCAGACAAGGCATTGGAAACTTCCTGTTAGGCTTTAGCAAAGAGCGAGACATGATGTAGTAGCGTGTATGTATGGTGAGTGCAATAGTAATTTCCAGAATGTTTGCCTCATTGACACCTGAAATTAAGGCCTTTGAGTATTATTTGGCCCCACTTTTTTTTTTCTTGACAGAATGCTTTAAGCAGTAACTAACTGTAAGAGTTTCTCTAGGCAAGAAAATGTCTCTTAAAATGTTATTTATTTTCTTTGTTTTTTTTTCTTTTAAGTCTGAACAGCCCAGTCCTGCCAGTTCCAGCTCCAGTTCCAGTTCCAGTTTTACACCATCTCAAAACAACAGACAACAAGGTACCAGTAAAGGAAAAGAAATTGAAAGGAATGTGTGAAATGAAGGGGCCAATTAAAACAGAACTCGTGGCATCTCATTACCTCTTTTCTTCTCTGTTTCACTTCCTGAACAGACCAGTTTTGATTTAGAGACTTGTCCACAGGTTGTTTTCAGATGCGGCTGTAAGGGCAAAGTGAAAGGAGAGAAATAAACGGTGAATTGGAGAAAAGGGTGTGAATATTGGTTGTTTTGAAGGACTAAATACATGCCAGTCACTTAACAGAGGCTGAACCCAAAAAGAGCTTCTGTTTCTGAGTTGTCCTTGCAGGGCTAGGTGGCATGGACTCTGGCTCCGTCTGAAGCCCTTGAAGAGTCTGATTTCCCATGGGCACCCAAGAGAAACCCACCGATGTGTTTATGTAGACCCTTTCAAAGGCTGTGATCATCCCATACTACTGGGAAGTTTTAAGAGCACACAGTATTTACTTCAAATACATGGCAGGGAAGGATGATGGTTATACTTAAAGTTTGCATTTTGGTTTCCTGCCTAATAACTTCAGTTTACTTGAAACTCAATAAAGAATGCATTTTTCTTCCTGGAGGCTTTGCCAAGGCATGTTTTCTGTAAATAAGTTGATATTCATTCTCCATGATCTATTAAACTACTTAGTTCCTGGTTGGCTTCTTTCCCTGGTTTATAAGATTGTATAGCTGATACATTCTTAATGAGCTTTTGTTTTATTCTTTGGATAAGGAGCATTAAAAAAGCAGCCTTTGACTAAACAAAATAGTTTGTTTTAGCCGTTTATATTTCTCAATGGTAGACTTGATTTAAGGTTATGACAATACATTAGTGCCTCAGGCACACTGATATTAAATTGATTGTCACGTGATGCATATCTCTCCTACTGGCTTTCTGTAGGTGACTGGTACTGATTTTCTGATGTTTTCTGGCAGCGTTACTCCATGTGAATGAAGGCAAGAGCTGAAGTTAACTGTGGTAATGACTGGCTTCAGGCAATAGATATCTACCTAAGAATAAACAGAAAAACTAAGAGAAACTAAGAAAAACCTTAGTGATGTGAATGGTTCATTACAAGCCAGAAGAGTTGGATACCCACTTCTGCATCTGTTATCTTTGCTAGGAAAAAACTTGTTGACTTAGTAGTTTCTTCTGTGCAGACTTTTCCCATCCATCCTTTCTGGGTCGTGTAGAAGACATGCCACAGATTGTCTTTCAGTTTTTTATACCTTCTCTAGAATAGATGAGAGATTTGTCCTCTGATGTGTACGTCTTCTCTTTTTTGCCACCATAAATAGTGGTTCCTACTTCTTTTTGAAAGTTCCAGAAACCGCAATTAACCAAGTGTATTCATTGCCCAGGCCATGAATTTGTACATCAAAGGTATGGAGTACCAGGCATACCATGGCATGTTCACGCTGTATGTTGGGCTCTGGTCAGAAGACATGCTTTTTCCCTTAACTAGAAGTTACTTGCCTGGAGTGTTGCTCTTTTTCGGTTGTAAGCACTCCAGTGCTTACTCAGGTGTCACAAAAACACAGCATGAACTTTTTTCACCTTTTTTTGCATAAGCAGCAGGCTAACCTGAGGGTTCCTCAGGTTCTTCTGTCCTTGGGGCTTACTTTGATATTTATCTGTTTCCTTACCAAGAAAACATGCTCATGGGCAACTCCTAATTTTAAGTTTCTCCTTAACTATTCTGCTGTCTTAGGAGGTAAGAACTTCTCAAATATCTAAAAAGGTGGTTAAGTATTTCGAAGTGTTACCAAGAAGCAGAAAATTTCTATCCAGAAAAAAAACAGAAAAAAAAAAATACCTAAAAATTAATTCTTTGCTGATTGGTAGAAAGGTCTGCTGAAAAGTTAGCTAGCAATGTGCTTTTCAGACTCCCAGACATGCTCCTACACTAAGTGAGAACTTCTCTGAATGACAGGTTGTTCAATGCTTATGGGGCTGTCAGTGATGTATATATCTGAGGAGTCCAAGTTTCTTTTTATTACTGGTCTTACAAAAGCCCTTTTCCTCCTTAAAGGGTCAGATGGTAAGTTGTTCTGTCAGACTACGAGTTGTCATTTGCAACTGAGCATTGTCTACCTGAGATCCGAACAGGGACAGAAAATGGAGTACAGCTCAGCTGCTTCTACCTATCAGCTGTGGGTGCCTGGACAAGAAGCACTTTTATGCTCTCACCTATACAAATATCTGGTGGTCAACCAGGAATTAGCCCATCAGCACCATCTGGTTTTCTTTCCTAGGGTGTGGAAACAGAGAAGAGTGTAATTTCTCTGAACCTGTCCAAACTGTGCCGATTTAGAAAAGTTCTGTGGCAGCCTTAGTGATAAATCTTTCCAAACAACAGCTTTGAAGTCACTTGCACAAAATTAGTCAAAATGCCTATGGCCTGAGCTTTGCTAAGTCTGGAACAGTCCATAAAACTATTCCCCCATGAAGGGAACACTGTCATACTCATAACCCTGTTATGCCTACCTCCTCTGCAGGCAGTCACTCCTTGACTCAGTTTCCCCATTAGTGAATAGGGAGTTGAAAGCTTCATCTCATGCCCACTGTGTTCCTGTCAGTACTTTGTTTCTTGGACTGAAGGAGTTACAGCCATAATAGTAATTACTGTTCCTACAGCCATCACTGGTGCTTTCAATTGCTGCTTCATGTCTAAGATGGGCTGTACTTCACAGTTAAGTGTACTGTGGCACCAGGACATTTTACTTTCTTCCCTCTTCTTATCTGCTTTTGCCCATTCTTATTTCAATTAGCTGTGGTGTTACACTTCTCCAGATCCATTAAACGTATTCCTCTTTCTATAACTGTCTCTTAGAGCAAAAAGAGTGAAAATCAAAACCCAAACTGAGTTAAAGCAGTTTTGTGAGCAAATCAAGCTTTCATACTTTATTGTTAATGCAGGAAGAGTGAAACATGGTGTTGGGTGATGTTGATGCACTTTGTACTCAGCAACACGGGTGAAGTACTCCTTGTACAACTTGAAGTTGACCCTGAAATAATGGGAACAACTGAAGTTAAAATACCTAAAAGCCAAGAAGACAAAACAAGACTGCTTTGTACAGTACAGTTTAGTCAGAGTGATTTGTTAGAACCAACTTATCATACATGGATTAACCTAACAAATGTACTAATGCTGATCAATATGTTCCCATGTATGTTCAATATGTAGATCTTTACTCATGTATGACAAAGCAAAAAATACTAAACCCCAGCAATACAAAAAGAAAAGCATGCTTTTAGCAAGCATGCATTTCATATTAATTTCTCCTGACAGTGTTTTACTTATTTCACTTAGGGTCCAGGGTGTAAATTGTTCTTACACTTGAACATGCCAGTCACTTCATCATCATGAGTAAGTCTGTTGAAGCTGACTGAGTTTTCATTTGAATGAAGATTTGCGAATATATGGACAGGTCCCTGCAGTATAATCCCCCAGTGCATTACTTTATTTGTTTAATTGTTAAGATTCTGCTTTCTCCAGTGCTGTGTGGGGAAGATAGTTTTTAAAGCTGGGTAAATTGCACAAAACACTGGGGAGTAAACTTCATTCAATTTTATTGTCTCTGTTGTTTCAGGTCCCTTGAGGACTATAATGAAAGATCTGCATTCAGATGATAATGAAGATGAATCAGATGAAGCAGATGAGAAGGACAATGACTCTGAGTTGGAACAACCTGTAAATACACGAGGAGGAAGCAGGAGTCGCAGGTTAGTGTCTGTCTCGTGATTGCATATGGCCTGCTGACTGAGACATGTAGTGCTTGTTAGTAACAAGGTGAGGTCTGATGTTCTTGGAGTGTTGAGTAGCAAATGGGCAGAAAGTTCACTCTAGAATTTCTAAAGCATCTGCATATAAAAGAACCCCTTTTAAACACTAACACAACTAGCCATTCCTGATACAAACTCTAACAGTACTAATCAATACAGTTGTGATGATCCTCATTTGTTTTACTTTACTTGATTTCATGCCATTGTGACTTGAGAGGAAGAGTTATAATTACTCCCGGGCCTAAATTAGAGAAAATTGTCCTTCAACTGTTGAATTAAGCTATTCTGTACATAGTCATAAGATCTCTTTGCTTACTGGTTTAAGATTAAGTTGTTAAATTGAATCCAAATCAATGAAATTTGAATTCCAAGTAAATTCTGTGGTGCATGCAGTAGACAATGCATAAAAGTGCATCAGACAGTAAAGCAAGCATCTGTAACAGAAATTTTTACAATTTTTGATTTTTAAAAAGAGCTTCTGCATCCTTGCTACAACCTTCAGAAGGCATTCCAAAATTCATCTGATGTACAGGTAGTTTGAAGCTGCATCCAAACCGTATTCAAGGTTATGGAAGACCTGAAACTGCCTCTCTCAAACACTCCTCACGTTAGGTTCTTTATATAATTCAGAGGGTTTTCCTGTTAGTGTGCAGCACCCAAGTGCCAGTGTCAGCTACTGCTCGAATGGGAAGATAATAGGAAAACTTTAATGAAATGTCAGCTGCTTCCCTGGTAAATTTTAGCAGCTGGAATCAAGGAGAAAAGACCAAGATGGACAGCTGTTTGAGAACTTGTTAGTGTCAGTGATTCTGTAAAGGATTGTTTCAAGCTCAGCTTGTCTCCAAGCATGGAGATTTTGTTTCAGCTTTTTAATGGAACTTTAAGGCTACTGTTTCCCTACTTCTTTTTATCCCAAATAACTAATGTGTTTTTTTCCAACAAAAAAATATTCCCCGTTGTTCATAAATAAATAAAAGGTGAAACTGACTAGGTGCTGGGCTTTTTATGTGACCTCTCCTGAGATGCTAAGTTTTAAAATTTTAATCAGGAAAGGGTGTGTTGCTTTTGTCAATAAACAAGGAACTTTTCAGTAAAACACGTATTCAGGTGAGAGGTACAGCTGTTTGGAAAGCTTTTAGAAGAGCAGAAAAGTATTCCTAAAGACCACCCTCTTTCTTTAACATAGCTATGAACGGAGATAGGGAGAAGCAGTTCAATTTTGCAGGTGTTCAACCATTTCTGTAGTGTTAGCTGCTCTTAACTGGGCACTCCATCTCAGCCAAGGGCAGACAGGCAGCTTCTTTCTTTGTGCTGCAAAGAGTTTTTTCCAGAGTGCAGCCCTGCTCAGATGCCTCTCCTTCGTGTGACCTTGATTAACAATAGCCTGCTTAGCAAGGTCCAAGGTTGGCTCACCCCATTTGACAGCCCTTTGTCTGCCGGTGTAATGCTGTTGGCTCTTTTTTCCACAGGGTTAGTCTGAGTGATGGCAGCGATAGTGATAGCAGCTCAGCTTCCTCACCGCTGCGTCATGACCCAGCACCACCTGTACTGAAAACCAGCAACAGCCAGGTAAAAAAAATGCACTTTGGCTTTCATCTTTTCTCCTTCCTCCCACCAGTGTTTATCTAGAAAGATACAGTATTTTTTCACTGCACTGGAAGACACAATAGTTTTTACTTTGCATCAGAGTACTCGTTCAAGGTTTGTAAGAGCTAACATGGTTGTTATTTCTGAGGTCAGTTTGGTTTTTCAAAAAAAAAATAAAGTGAATTACCTAGATTTGCAAAATACTCCAGGGACAAATGAGAATTAGCTTTTGGGCAGTACCTCACCCCCAGTAAGCCTCCCTAAATATAAAATGAAATATAAAAACTTAAATTCTTTACAATATAAAATACACCATTTGTCAGTTGTTTTAAGGAGGCATGATTGATTCTTGTGTCAGTTGTATCACACACCAAGCTGTTAGGACTCATACTGGCAATAAATGGCAACTTAGAGTTATGATACAGTTAAAATAATAGTGTATAAGTGAACGGACACAAGTTATAGGTTTAGAGGGTGAGTTTCATGGGTGGGTCTTTTTTATATCTCTTGTCTCTAGAATTGCTTCAATTATCTGGCAGATATTATTTACTTGCCTTTCTTTTTCTATTAAGATTTCCAATACAAGCTGTAGTACAAACCCCAAATATTAAAATTCATGTTAGCTAAGTTCAAATACGCTGTGGGGGAAAAAAACCCCACAAACTAAGTAGTACCTTGTGGACAGAGAGAAGGTAATTCCATATCCAGAAAATACTCTTATTTTTTACCACTGTAGGCTCTCCTAAGTTTTCTGTATAAAAGTTGCAAGTTTTTAAGAGATAGTCTTGAGGTTAAAAATCTCAAGACTTCAAGGTGTGAAGAATATTGCATTTCCTGACTGCATAAGCACAAGAAAATTAAAACATCTGTCTATGGCTTGTTATTTAATGAAGACTGGTTTCTAAAGAGTCAATGCATTTGTTAAGTAACTTTAAGTCAATATCAGCAGCCCACTATCACATCTTTTGTGTTTCTTTGCCCTGTTGGTGATGTAGTAGAAGGTCTACCTCCACATTTATACACTCCAAACAATAGCTGTGTATCAGCTAACATACCTTCACATACCTTTTTCTATTTCTTTAATTGATCTAAATTTTATAATCAAGCTGCAAATTGGAAATTTTGGGAAGCATTGTAAGAATTCAAATTGTGTGGACTATAGCCACATTTAAAATCTCTTCTTGCTAGCTTAGTGCTGCTTGACAAGATGATACCTTTTACTGATGAAATCAGGTTTGTGTTAGCCAAGTTCCTTTATAGAACTGAGGAGCTAAGACAGAGTTTGTGTTAGCTTTCTCAGACATGGTTAGTGCTGTATCTCATCTAAATAGTGCTTAAGATGTAAAATTTTAACTGCATATCAAGAGCACTGTAAGGAAGGTGCATTTTCAAATATACTGTGTTCTTGGCAAGGTTGTATTTGAAACCAAGAGTTTTCTTGCTGTGAAAACAATAAATGCATCTAAAAGATACTGAAACCATGATTAAAGGTTTTTTGTAGGGTTGGGTGGGTTTTTTTTCCCAAGACAAAACTTCTGGTCTACACAGCAGTAACCCTAGCGGGTGTTGAACAGAAGTACTGGAATTATTCTTCAAAAATGTGTGCTTTGATTCTGAGCATGATTTACTTGGCTAAGTAAATCAAGTAAGGGTAACTCAGATCTGCAGTCACTCTCACTAGATGGAGAAATAGCTGTCTGCCAAGTGTATTCTAAAGCTGCTCGTCGGCCTAGGGAGGACATATGAAATTTAATCATTTATACCAAGGGAAGGAGAAATGAGAGAGGACTTGGGGGAAAATGTCAGTAAGGCTTCTGGAAGACTTGTTCTTGCATGCTTTATTTCCTTGTTTTAATTAGTGAGTTTTATCCTGTATTGTGGCTGTTGGGTATGGTTTTGGAGTTAATCATGCTAGTGATGTTAGTTTCACTTACAATGAAATGTGAAGCATAGTCTCCCATTATCTGTGATGACTTAGTTTCCTTTGATGTTTTTCAGAAGAACTGGTTATATTCTAGGTTAGGAATGATATGGTGATTTTTCTTTTAACTTCAAAAAAGTGTTCTCGGTGGAAAAACTGAAGGAACAATCAACAGTTCTTTATCCCTCAAGTATTTCTGCCTTTAGTCTAAAAGTTTCAAATCAAGCATTGGTGTCCTGCTGCTTGCTGACATGTTCTTCTTGGATCTGTTTCAGTATCAGATGAATCTTGGCTTGTATGAGTGATAGTAAATGGGTGTGAGTGGCACTGGAAGAAGAGTATCATATAAGTGCAAAAGAAATTACTGTCAGTAACTTTCATTTTCAGTTATAACTCATATGGTCATTTCAAAACATCTGTTGTCGAAGAGAAGAGATAGCATTGAGGGGGAAAAAAGCCCCAGGAAAAGTACAGTGATAATAAGATGTTTCAACGGCACTGGAGAGACACTTTGCATCATTTTGTATCTGCCAAATCACCTCTTATCCTACAACCACATGAAGGATAGGGGTAAAAAAAGTGTTGAGAAGGCTTTAAATGACATAAAATTCCTTCTTTTAAGGATTAATAATATCACCATAACCTCATTCCTGTACCTCAGTATTTTCAGCTGTAAGTTACTTTTTGTTCTGAAAAGTATGAGTAAGTTACATGGATTAAAAAATTAAAAACTCAGTTTGGGGTTTGTATTAGTAACAGCAGAATTTTCCATATATAGTTGTAACCACTATTTTAATTAAATTTTTACAGTATTTTCTTTCTCTTCCAGATTTTAGAAGTGAAAAGTCCAATAAAGCAAAACAAAACAGATAAACAAATGAAGAATGGGGATTGTGATAAGGTAAATAACAATGAGGTAGCAATAAACTACTCCAGAATATGAAACTAACGTGCTTACCAAATGCCAACATTGGTTACAGAATGAAAATCTTAATGCACTTTGCTTTGGATTCCTTTAGGTGCAGAGCTTCCTCTGTTTCCTTTCTGGAATTCTTTTATCTTCTCTCATACTTTTGAAATTTTTTTTTTCCTTCTTTTCAATCAGGTGATTTGTCAAATTTCACCACTTGGGAATCTTTATTCCAAGAGATGTAGCTGAGAATTCACAGATGTACTCCTAGCCTGCAAATCTGTTATGGGGAAAAATAATCATCTATTTTTCAGAATCCTTTCTGAAAGCTGTATTAGGAAGTGGCAGTGTGATTTAGGATGTTAATTAAAATGATTTGAAGCAACTATCAGCATTTAACAGTGGAATAGTTTGATTTAAAATCTGTCTACTGGCTGTGGGCAAGAGCTGTCAATCCTTCCAGGACTGAACATAGCACAATTGCCCATTATGGATAAGTTTATCTGAAGGCTTGTATTTTGCTGGTATTAGTGTTAATTTTGTGATAACATGAGGCAAAAGATGGAAGTTTCAGCATCTAGATTTTTAGTGTCTAGATTTTTATTTGCAGTACCTAGATTTTTAGTACTTTGGTATTTTGGTTTGCATTTTGGTTGCTTAGGTTGAGTGTCATGTCTCTTTCTGCTTACAAGCAAAAAATAAGTTCTTGATGGCTCAGGCTGAAGGAGAAAGTTGATAGTAAGGTGGAGAGGTGGGGCATGTTTGACATCCCAGGGGAGAAGTGCTGGAACCAGTGGCTTAGTCTTGCATAATCTTTCTTTCCTTATTATTTTTTTCCTGTTGAGACAAAATAAATAATTACATACCTTTCTAGAGAAAAGAATGATTTGATTTTGAGTCTTTGGGTTTGGTTCTTGCATAGAAAAATGGGATATGTTTTCCGAGGTTAATACATGTTTTCCAAAGATGCTTGGCTGGCATCCCCAGACTTTTGATACTTTTTGGCACAGTTGAGATACAGAGATTATCTTCTACAGCAAATGACCACCTATGAAAATTTCTGTCAGCATGAACTATCTTAAAGAACCACAAAAATTTATATTTGTGTTGTATTAAGCTAGGGAATGCCAGACTATTAATAAAAGAACACACCTCAAAGAAGAGTTTGGTCTTACCTCAAGTCCTGTGTGCAGTTTTGGATGCTGTACTCTAAGAAAGATTTAAAGCTATTACAGAACATCCAGAGGGGGGCTGCAAAGATGGGGAAGGGCCTAGGGGGAAGGTTTACAAGGAAGCACAGAGGTCACTTGGTCTGTCCAGCCTGGAGAAGAGAGACTGCAGGTGGAGAATAGAAGAAGGTTATTCACCCAGAGGGTGGCCGTGCCCTGGAATGGGCTCCCCAGCAAACTGGTCACAGCACCAGCCTGACAGAGTTCCAGAAGCTCAGAAAATGGACAGTGCTCTCAGGCACAGGCAATGACCCCTGCCATTGTCCTGTGCAGAGCCAGGAGCTGGACTCAGTGATCCCTCTGGGTCTCTTCCCAAGATATATATCTCAAGATATTATATGATTCCAAGACTGCAAATAAGATTTCTATTTGTACTGGTTTTGAAGACATCTGAAATTTATGAACTGCATTGCTACTACTTAAATAACAAGTTGTTTGTGGGGGGGAATTTGTTTCTAGGCATATCTTGATGAATTAGTAGAGCTCCACAGAAGACTAATGACATTGAGAGAGAGACATGTACTGCAGCAGGTGAGAAGCATTCTAATGCACTATCACAATGTGTTCATTGAAATTCTTAAGTCACATCTATTTTTTCTTTTTGCTTCCATTTGAAATTCTGTAATAAGTTATCAGTTATCGGTTAAAAACTCTGCTCTCAACTTTAATAGTCTTCAAGCCTGTAGAAGTCCATTACCTTTTACACTATAGCTTGGGGAATTTTTTGCACGTAATAAAGTGTTCAACTTTGTTGTCTCTCTAAATGAAAAACTAAAAAAAAAAAGCCTGAGATAATTTTTTCACCAGTTTGTCATGTTCTTAACATACTGTATCAATAATTATGAAAGCAGAATGGGATAATGGATATAGCTGTGCACTGTGACTTGATAAAAAAATTTTGTTGCTTCTGTCCTGAAAATGACCAGCCTTGTCTCAGAACCAATTGAAGGGGGTTTTTTCCTATGGCAAGCAGAAAACAGAATTCAGTGCAAAGCCCACTTTGACAAAAAACATATTTATTGAATCTTCTGAAGTCATAGAATGAGTCAAATATGAAAGTGTCCAAACCAAAAAAGCTCAAATTTAATGAAAGGTTATGCAATAGCAAAGAAAATATTCTTAGTTTTGGTGGTACTGTCAGGTACTATTGTATTGCAAATTGTGAAGATAAAATAGTCACTGTCAACATAGTAGATGCAAATGCAACAGGGATGGTTTTGTTATGTTTAGGACAATTACGTCCCACTTTTAGAGATGTTGTAAAGAGGAAAATTTTTGCCACTTCTAAATGATTGCAGTCACTTGTTGAATTTCTTGATTAAGTGTGTTAATGATATTTTGCAAGCTCGAGCATTAACTACTTTGTTAGATCAGTGGTGATCACAGTATGGTGAGTAAAGATGAGAAAACTACTGAGAGTTAATTGAGACAGAAAATTTTGATTAAGGATATTCTTAATTAAAGATGAATTCTGGTAGCTACATCAGATTTTGTCTTTATAACACACAGTGATGCATGTTGGTTACTCTTTGTGTTTAATGTACTGTTGCCTCCCAAGCTTCCTTTTCCTTCAAAGGAAACCAAATCATGTTTACAGAATGGTGGCAGAGCCAAATTTTTATCTGCATCGGGAAATTATTTTGCAGGAGGCTAAAATAAAGGAATTTCAACACACTGTCCACTTCACATTAATCATTGATTCTCAGAGAGTTCACATTAAAATTGAATTAAATTAAAATTGAATCTGGAAAAGCCACTCTGTCTTTGCTTCCTGAGCGCTCACTTTGTCAGTTATCCAGGGCGTAGCTTCCAAATGGTATCACTATCACTTCTGATGCACATCAGTGGCCAGTACAGCTTGCAGACCTGAGCCACTGTCCCAGCCTGGTCAGTCAGGCCATGAAATTGGGAAGTGGCAGTGTGATTTCTGTGTGAAAGCCCCCAGCTTTCACTGGGGCTGTCTTGACAGCCTGCAGACCATAGGGCTTACGTGGCTACATATGGCATTTTGAAAAAGAAAATCAGCTTCAAAGCATTTTGTGCAGACCAAATATAAAAACAAGTGAGAAATCTTTTTTTCCCCCATCATGGTGGTCTGGAGCTTTTGAAATCCTGACAGGATAAGCCTGGAGTAGATGTGACTCCACAACTGAGTGGGACTCTGAGCAGGGACTGGGACTGGCAAAATCCTTTCCAATTGGAATTATTTGGCCTAAGGAATATTTTCAAAGTAAATAAAGTGCTTCAAATTGAACCCCTCATTCTCTTTCTCACTGGTAGCATTGATTTGGTGATGAAGAATTATTTGTCTTTGTTAGAAAAATACGTTTGTCCACTAAATTGCATTCATTCTAATATTGGAGTAGTGTTATAGTAAGCTTTGTGGGAAGTCACTAATACAAAGAAAAATCATGTGAAAAGAAACATAAAAGAAACTGAGCTGGAAATGTAGAGTATTCTATTCTGAATAAATGAAAAAGAGAAGTATATTCTTGTGCATTTTAAACTAGACTTTTTTCTCTTGAGACAATTTATTCCATTTAAATTTAATTTATCCAATTTAAATTATTTTACAGTTTTAACCAGAGAAAGCATTCATTCATGAATTTTGCTTCACAGCTTGCTTTAGGATGAGGCATTTTAATGCTGTAATCCATGATTATTTACACATTATTATTTACATTGTGAAAGTTTGCTTGATGCAGAACTGGGGCAATTGTTCTTGCAGATTGTTTCCCGTGTTTCAGAGGTTTGCAGGCTGTTGGTACAGCCCTAGTGAAAGCTGGATTAATGGCCAGGCTGTTCAGGCTGGACAGTGGTTCAATTCTGCTGGGACAGCATAGTAACAGGCTACAGAGGTCTACCAGGAGTCAGTGGAAGAGACAGGTTACTTACCTGTTAGCCTGTCTACACTAGTGAATGGTCTATGCTGCTGTAAAACAAAACACAGCTTAGTTTTAAAACCTTTAATCCCTCAGTATTCTGCTACTCATTAATTCATATGATTTTCATCCATTTACAGAAATATTTTCCCAATACTAAATGGATAACTTGCAGAGGATCAGTGCTTCTCTACATTAAAAATAATCTGCCATCCCATCTTAAGTGTCGTTACATAAGTATGTAGTTAATGTAAAATACATCCAGTGTGCACAGAAATTAAAAAGATGCAGAGTGGAGAAAGTTTCTAGGAAGTAACATGAAACTTCTAGACTAAGAAATACATAGAGATTGTAGGAGGTACAAAGGTGAGAACAGCAAGATGCAAAACTGCATAACAAGATTGTGGTTACTGCATGAGAAGAGGGATCAAATGCAAAAATATACAACAGAAAACTGTAAGCAGCTGCAAGAGTTTTAGAGGTGTTGGTGTTGAAATGGAATGGTGATGCAGTTGTGTGTGTTCCTGAATGTTGGCTGTCATCTTTTTAGTTTATGTTGGGGCAGGTAAGTCTCTTGCACAGAGACTTCAAGTGAATTTTCAGAGAAGCAACTTGCAAAAGAACAATGAAGGCATTGATACCGTGTAAAAGCACAGGCTTTTTAAACTTACACTGAGGGACGTGAAAAGGATTTTAGTTTTAAAATTCTTTTTCTTTCCTGTCTCAGTTGTTACCCAGTCCATAGGCATGACAGCAAACAGGAATGCAGCCAGATTGGAAAAGAGAAAATTGTATCTATTTGTGAACATGTCTCTTTCCAAAGAGAGGCATTATCTTTGAGATGTGTTGTTAAAGAAAGCTGAGAAAGAGAGAAGAGGGGACAGATGTGATACTGTACTGCAAGTGCCCAGATACATAGTGAAATCATTCTGATGTTAGGTGCTAGCTACTTACAAACATGTAAGAATTGCCCAAGAGGGAGAAGAAATGTTTCTCACATGTGAAGACTATTTCACCAAGAAATTAATACTGTGAGCTGTTTCTGTATGAATATTGGCAAGACAGAAATTGGTCTAAAATTATATTTACAAAGAAATTCCTCTGTCACATCTTTCACTGTAAGGAAAGAGGTTTGAATTTACGGTGATGAGGTTTTTTTTGGTTTGATTTGTTGTTGTTGTTGTTGGGGTTTTTTTTTTTTTCATTTTTTTTGTTTTTTAGCTGATTCTGCAATCAGATGTTAATGCTACATGTCCAATGCTAAAGCAGTGTTTCTAACTCTGCATTTTCAATGCAGAAAATGTTAGCATGATCCCACAAAAGGCAGCAACATTTCTGGTAGGGCTTTGTATCTTATTTTGAGGCATCAGAAGTCATATCTTCAGCTGGTAAAAAAATCTGAAAGCCAGTGTGCATTAAGCAGCACAGAAGGAAGGAAGAAATTGAGAGTATGCAGCATGGCTTAAATTTAGATTGCTCGTGTTCCCAAGGTGCTTAACTTCAGATGGCAACTATCTTCTTAGAATTTTCTGCCAGGGGCAGCTTGGAGGTCTGGAAACTATCACATGGCCTAAAACCCTCCATAAATTGAAAAATGACTGTCATTAGTTGCACTTTGGCTTCCTTATACAAACACACTCATTTGCTTGTTTAAAGGCTGATAAATAGTTATACTATGATGGATAATGATGAAACTGAGCTGGAGAGACATTATGTAAACAGAGACGTAATTTACAGCAAAAAAGCAAAGCTTATATAGCAGGAACAAATGGGATATTTTTGTTCTTTGCAGTCTGAGCTCTTGGAATAAAACATTTTAATGCTGTTTTTAATGTTAGAACTGTCAGACTTACCTAGCAACTAATCTCAACCTTTTATTCTTTTTGAAGAATTTCTGAGTAGCACAAGGATGCATATGCTAATACTGTAAGTCATGAATTCCTCACTGACTGGCACAGAGGCAGGTGTTTTTCATTGAGTTGTCTGGGTTTATCTTGATACATTTTTGTACATCCATTAAAGCCTTTGGGGTTCATTTCAGTCATTTGCCAGGTGCCCAGACATAGTGACTGTATCTCTTGGGGGCTGGATGAGGGATATGTTTAAAATGTTTATGTTTCCCTTGACCTAGAGCTTAAAAGCCCAAAGCAGAACTTGATCAATAGAAGTCCTTATCCATTTCTTAAAATATGCAGTGCTGTTTAAAAATACATGTGTTAACACTTTCACATAATCTTCGTTTCTAAAATCAAGTATATTGCAGCTGGGGTTACTAGGGGTGGTATTCTTCTGCAGTACCAGAAGGAAGCAATAGACAGAGTTGTTCAATGTAGCTGCATTTTCCTGCCCTCTGCTTTTGTAAACTTCTTGTGCAGCCATTTATTTGTCTTACAGTGGATATTCAGATAGCAAGCCCAAGATTAGATTCCAAACTTTACAAAAAGAGGCTGGATTGACTACTTACCTTTGCTTCTCTCTTAGATGAGGCTCAAGAGAGTGACAAAAATGAGAATAATAGTATATATCAAAGTTTACTTCTGATATCAATCAGTTTTTTCCCACTGGGTTATTTTTTCCCTCATGTGAATTGCAGAACAGTAGGAGATGGAAAAATGTTACAAAAATCTGTGAATCAACAAGCAGACAAATGAAGTTAGTCATTTTAGATAAAAATTCCTATATGGAAAAGAAATTGAAAGCTAGAGGTACAGATTTTAATGATGCGTTTATAAAAGTAGGATTTTTTCCAGGTACTTTGAGAATTTTGGGCAGCTGCAAACCAAATTAAACAGATTTTATTTTTATTTTTTCCCATATTTGAAAATAAAGGGTGATTGAAAAGCAAGATTTTTATTGTAACAAGCATTTTCCTTTTATTATTTTATTTTGTATCCATTCTATTTAAACTGTCCTCGGCTGTGTCATTCCATGCCTGACAATACACATTTCAAATTTCATTTATCGTTAACATAATCTTTACTTCTGTGGTCTGAGAAGAAAAAAATATCTGTTTGTATAATGACATGGAGAGTGGAAATCTACAAAATATTTAGTTTCAATTCATTGTTCTTTTTGAAGTTGGTTATTACTACCAGATTTGTCTTTTTAAGGTACATTCTGTAATCCATGTGTGCATACGTCTGTATCTCCTCCAACTGTGGAACAGGGATTGCAGTCAGAGTAATAAAGCTCAAAACAGTCGAGGAATATCTCGCAGTAGTGTTTCAGTGGAGGTGTATGTGGAAGGTCAGAACTAAATTCTTTCAAACTGGAGGTTGCAGACAGAATTTGGAGTGCTGCACAAGGGGTGGTTGGAAGGACTGAGAAGAGCAGTGTTGTTCTGTCAGCCCACGAGCTACTCAGAGGGTGCTTCAGGGTGGGGCACTTTTCTGTGTGCTCTTGGCATGTCTGTCTCTTGGAAGGAAACAGCACATAAGAGATTCATAGCAGCCATGAGTTGGCACTGTGTTAGCCCTCTCTGACAAATAATGCTTTGGCTTTTCAAGGTGCTCAGTGTATTTTTTGAGGCAGGTGTGCATCTTGGAACTTAACATACCTGTAGTTATTTTTACAGCAATTGTATGTTGAGTATAACCACTCTTCAAAAATACAGACTACAGTGTAGAGACTAAATATGTCACAACTGCAGAAGGGCACAAGTTAGGTATCCACTGTTGATTTCACAGAATTGGAGGATAGTTAAGATTGGAAGGAATCTCTGGAGGCCACAGGGACATGTGGAACCAGTTGCTTGGGACTATGTCGCATGACTTTGGAATATCTCCAAGGTTGAAGACCCCACAACCTAAGTGATTTTATGACCTTGCTGGGAGCCCTTCCATGGTTAATTTGGCTAAAAAAAATAAAATAGATTTAACTCTGTTACTCAAAAAGTGACTGCTAGTTTGTGAGCTAAAAGTTCATGTAAGACCTCTTGTATTTTTTTTAATTTATTTTTTAATATGGACTGGACTGTCTAAGGATTTATTTCTTTTCCTTGCTTGCAGAAAGGCTTATGCCATTTATGTCCTGAAGTAACCTGCTTAGCAGCTGTGCACACAGTAAATATTCCAGAGATCTACCTGGGATTTTTAAAATTATTTGTTTGAGTTAAGGGTATAATGTTGCCCCTTCCCCCCCCCTTTTTTTTTTACTGAATTAGAACATAAGCAGATTTTCTTTGAACATTTGAAGAATAAATGCTGATGTTTGTTGGAACAGCAGATGAGTATGCTGACACTATGGCTGATGATGATCTCGGAAAAAAAAGCCAAGGCACTGTAATATGGACAATAATGTATATAAGAAAGGAAGTGAATGATAAGGATAATGGTTAACCTGCAAGTATTGGGGCAATTTGGGTCATGTTAGGCCTTCATATGGTACTTGTTTATACTTACAGTGGCCATGTAAAACTTGCAGAATTTCCAACTGCATCTTTTCTTTTCTTTCAGATAGTAAATCTTATAGAAGAAACCGGACACTTTCATATCACAAATACAACCTTTGACTTTGATCTTTGTTCACTGGACAAAACTACAGTCCGTAAACTACAGAGTTACCTGGAAACATCTGGAACCTCCTGAGGATTCAGCATATAGCTGCATCGAAAACTGTTCTTTAAGTGACATACACAGAATGATGCGAGCAAAATGGAGGGGAAAAAAACAAAAACCTCTTCATCTTTTATTTTTCCTTCAAGCCAGTCTCTTGATAAGGGAGAGAAAAAGTGACCAGACTCAGAGGACCACTCTTCTCAAGAAGAAAATGCTCTGGAAGTTTGCCTGGATAGCCTTGAAAAACACAGAAAAACAAACAAAAATATTTGTTCTTAATGAATGTGTATGATATCATGTATCTCTCTCTGTGGTGTTCAAGTCCACAAGATGAATGCATGTTCAACACACTGCCTTACTACGTAACTGATCTATTTATTATTGCATACATGTATTCTAAAGTCAATGAGTCACTGAGTGACACTATCATATATTGCAAGTAGTGGGGTCCCTTGTGTGCTCTTTCGATGCAGTACTTTCACAAGCCTAATAACCTTATTCATATTAAAATGCCACTTCTTGCTATCTTTCTTTAGTCAATTGAAACACTACAGTCTTGATTCCACCTCTGCAGTTCCAGGAGACAAGATGCAAACTTGGCCACCAAGCAGTGGTCTTATATTTCATTTCCTGTCTACCACAGTGGGTTGGACCACAGAAAGCTGGACTGCAGGTCCTTGATTCTGTCCACTTATTGGTATTGACCATGGTTAAAGAGTGCACCACATAGGTTCGTATGACTTGCTGTCTAGCCTCAGTGAATAAACCAATAAGACTTTCAACAAAAAATGTTACGTATACTGTCCTGAATCTGGCAACTCTTGCAGTCTACATTCTTGTGTCCATTTAAATGTTGCAAAATTAAATATATATTAGAGTGGAGGTGTTCTGCAGGAGCACAAGATAAAAGTACTTGTCCTGTCTTTAAAGAAAATGTTGTAGAAAATTCTTAATTTGGAGCTATTTATTACTTCAAGTTTCAACACTCTTCTGCTGCCAGTGTGTGACTCACTTCTACCATAAAACTTTTTGCATATCATTTTTGTTTGTTCATATAGTAGATAATCTGCTTAGTTTGTTTTGGGGATTTTTTTCTGATTTAGTTTGTTTTTTTACAACTGCTAAATTAAAACCTTTTATTTTAAAATAAAAAAAAAATGTTGTTATACAGTTAAATAAATACATGGAATAAATACATGTATGGTATCATTTGTATGTGTGTGTCTATATATACGCCTGTATACCACACCTGTATATATACATATATCTATATATACACACACACATACATGCACATATGCTTTTTAAAGTTTCCGGATTTTGGTATCTGTTTGATGACCTTACTGTGTTTCCAGAAGAATTTCTTGTCTATAAAAATGAGTATTCTTTCATACCATCCATTATTTCTTAAAATCAGGATCCTTGTTTATGCGTGATCAAAGATCACTTGGTTTCACATCAATGCTTCATGTTCTCGTATTGCTGATGGTTTCTTGATGAAATCATTACCTTTATATTAAAAATCCAAATTCCTAAACGAAAAGAGAAAATAATAATTTTAAAAATACTTCTGGATTCAAAGGTTTATTCAGGTTTACCAGACTAAAAAATGTATCTTGTTGCTAGACAGGCCAGTATGTCATGTGTATGCTTATATGCCACATGTAGTCTCTATGTGTAGAGCTAAACAGTAGTATCTCTATGACTTACTGTTTCATGTGCACAGTTTGTGCAGCACTGAAAAACTATTGGGGTTATTTCTTATTCAGATGGTAAATCTTAATACTGTTTCTTTAAGTCCAAAGAAAATTTTACACTTTACTCTTTTTTGAAAGGGCACGATACATATTGGGTTGGGGGACTTTTTTCTTATTTAAAATGTTTGATCATACTCCGCAGGAAGTCCTCCTTAGGCTTCTGAAGAATAAGTGTACTTTTTCAGTAATGTTATGACTCTTATTGATGATTGGCATGAAGCATACTTGAAGCGTTATGTTGTTCTTTTAAGTCCATGTCTTAATGTGCAATTGGGGAGGGGATGGAGGAGTGGGAGTGTAATGTTAACTTTACTATTGACAGAAGGCAGGTGGCGATGGGGAAGGGAAGAGGGGTGCATGTAAAGGGGATAAACTTCAATTTTTATTGATTGTTTTATATAAAAATGTTTGGTAATCTAAAAGCAACCTTTAAAACCTTTGGTCTACAAATGTGTGTTCAACTTTCCTGTCTTTTAGTTATACCAGATGTATATGGAAATTTTTCCATTTAGACTTTTCTAGCTAAGTCTTGTGATAAAGACTCATTGAGTTTCAGAAGGGGATACTTCTAGTACGACTATTGCACTGTTTTTTTAGAAATGGTGAAATGAATCATTTTACCCTTAAAATACCAGATAAGCTTTATTGTACACTGAGAACAGGGGTGGAGGAAAAGAGAAACTAGGTGAATAGGCATAAAAGGGAGAGGATATCAATTACAGTATCAAATCAGTGCTGAATTTAATGTAAACTGTCGATGAACCTTAAACTCTTAAATTTTCTAATTCAGTGAGAGAGAGAAAATAGACTTGCTGTCAATGTGTGTGTTGACTTTTTCACAAAACTCTGATAGAAATAGAGTGACTAAGCTTTGATCTAAATTTTAAAGTTAGCTATTTTAATCTAATTTTTTATACAGAAACAAAATAAATCTATGTTCACCTAATTTCAGACATTCATATTTCTCTTAAAGGAAAAGCAGGAAGATACCCATCCAAGTCTTTAACACCTATGAGCACTGATCTTTGGGATGGGTTAAAGTGTTTTGGCAACAAATGTTTTGAAGTTTTACTTAACATAAAGCTGTTTAAAACAGTTGTATGAGAGAATTTGGACCAGACAGACAGAGATTAGCTGTAAATTCCAATATCTAGAGTAATTCTCAGCGTGAGTCACTGTTTCTAGAACAGTAAGTAGTATCCTGTAGCAAAGACAGTTTTCTCACTAGTAACTTTCCTCCTCAGAAAGTGGATGTCCAATTGGGTAGACAATTTTTTAATTTAATTTTTAGTGTTTTTTACAAGTTCTAATCAGCTGAGAGGTTTTACAAAACTTTCAGTATCATCTAAATTTGAAGGCCATCTTAGTCCATGCTAAAGAAAAAGAGCTAGAAAGGAAGAAGGGGGGGTCTTCTTTCCTCCTCTGAAAGTGAAGAGAGTCTTCTGAAGTAAAACTAAGCCAGTGCTCAGTCTTCAGCCTTTGGACTGTAAGAAATGGTTGATCATTACTCTCTCTCTTCATTGGTTTGGTGTTTTTAGGAAAAGTCTATGCTTTCAATTTCAGAAACAAAATGCACACAGTACAGTGCATTTGGAGAGCCCAGTATATTTCTATTAAAGTTTCTTTTAGTCTCTGGGAAGGAAATTACAAATTCTTGGGTTTTGCCTGACCCATTGTTCTTCTTTCCCATTCTCACAGTGAAATAAAGTACTTTCACAATCTAGTTTGAGTCCTTGGTCCTTACTTGGTATAATCTATAAGTCTAGAAGCTGTATCAGTGTTTTGGGGTCTCTTGAATGACCCATTGATTTTAAGTCCTGTCACTTAGTTTGCAAAATTGATGGGAATGCTGTAGAATTAATTGTCTGAAGTGAAAACCACTTCTTTCATTTGGTTTTCTTGTATGCATTATTTTACTCCAGACGCTGCTCTGATGGGAGGATGTTTGATTTGTTCACGTGCACCATATCCCATCTTTTACTACTTGCAGTTTGATGGCAAGCTATCTTTTAGTAAACTCTTATTTCAGCCTATAGAGTCTGTTTTGTGTTTGCTTGTTGGCCTGTGGTTTGCAGAAATTAAGCCTCCTTATGAAAATTTTGTCAGGTTTTCAGCCACAGCAGGAGCTAGGGGGAACTACAAAAATAAGCAGTGAAATCAGAGATGTTCCAAAGTTTAACAACTGTGAGGCATGTGTTTTTATGAGCCTCGATAGTTTTCTTAATTGTCAAGCAGTGTACAGTAGAATGTAGTGTACACCAGGAAGCTACTCTGTACACTTCATACACACTCTGTATGAAGCCTTACTGGGCATAAAAGCAGATTACAGGGACTAAAACACATAGCTGCACTGCTTTTGTGCATGCTTGGGAGTTAATCAGTGCATTAATGCTGCTAAAGCAAGGACGTTTACGAGACTAGCTCTGTGTCTGGACAGATAAATTAACATCAAAGCACACTCACTGTAAGGGCCTTGCATTTGATTGAGCAGCAAGAAATGCCACTGTGACTAGACAGGAAAGAGAAGTATTACCACAGTTGAGAACAAAGCCCTGGGGTGTGGGGTGGAGTGGGGAGAAAGAAAAAAAGGTGTAAAGAAGAGATGCAGTAATACATTGTTTGCCCTGGTTTGCTACTGTAAAATCTGCTGCAGTTGTTGGTGAGTAGAGACAGAGAGAGGTGGAGATTGCAGCAACATTAAAAAAATTTAAGGCATTTTATTGTTTGGGATGCTAATGTCTGTTTCACATTTGTTTCAGTATTGCATCTGACTTACATTCTATGTTTTATCTCAGCCAGGCTGATTGTACTGCAAAGTGGTAGTCTTGCGTTTTTCATTTACTTTAATTTTTCCAGTCTTGAAATTTGAGTGAAGTCAAATGTAGGCCTGTGAACGCAGCAGATGTATTTTTATTATCATTCAGTATAATTCTGGCTGGAAGTAACCATTTCCTGAATCTTTCATCAAATGGATTATGCATTTTTCATATGTTCCTTTAGGGAACTGATGCTATAAAGCTGCATTTTCTGTTAGTAAACTTCACCCTTCTCATCACAGCAAGGAAAAGATTATTAGCTTTTATCATTGCTCACAGAGAGACAGAATGCAATGTATGAGTCCTATTTAGGAAAGAGTGGGTTTGTGAAGGTGTCAGATACAGCTTTTTAATAAGACCTAGAAATAAAGCCTATCTCTTTTGGGAAGGAAAAGGACAGGAAATATTTGCTTAAAATGTTTCTACTCTGGTAATGCTGGGGTTTTCCTACAATTACATTCCTCTTTCAAATCGTTAAGCATCTAATAGCCGGTGACTACATACAAACCATTAAAGAATCAAAGGAATTGAAAATACAAGCAAGTTTATATTAAAATCCTGGCTGTGCAAGGAATAAGGTCATAATGCTGATACTGCTTTCAGTGCAGGGCAGACATTCCTAGCACATGTGGTTTGTGTATCCTCATCTGAGTGGGTGGTCTAGAAAATGGTGCAAAATGCCGCGGGAGGGCTTAGTTTTTGAGTGGTGCAGAGGAAACATTCA